CCACCGGCCGCAAGGAGCACGCCCCGGCCGCCTGGGGGCTGCTCCCCGCAAGCGGGACCAAATCGCGGGAAACCAACCGGCCGCCCGCCCCGGCATTACCCGCCACCTGCTCCTGACACCCCCGCTGGAGGCGCCTGGGCCCGCTCTGGGCAGAGGCAGCACCGAGCCGCGCCCGGCCACCCCACGCGTCCTGCGGAAGCTGCAGCAGCCCGGCGGGCAGAGGCTCCCACCCCCACGACGAGCCTGAGGACAGGCCCTGCAGCGCGAGGGCCCAGCGGGCGCACAGCCCAGGCTGCCGGCCCCCCTCGGCCGGCCCCACTCACCTCCACCTGGAACTCGTTGCTGACATAGCGGCCGTTGAGCTCCGAGCAGACCAGCTTGAACTTCCGGTCCAGCAAGGCCCTGGTGTGCCAGTTCCGGTAGCGCAGGAGGCGCAAGGCCTCCTCGTAGCTGGCCATGGTGTCCACGCCTGCAGGGCGGCAGCGGGCATGACGTTGGGACCCAGGCAGGGGCAGGGCCAGGGCAAGCCAAGGCGACGGCGGTCGGCCGCCCAGCTGGTCCGCTTGGCCCTCCGGCCGCGAGAACAAACGCAGTGTGGGGCTGCTTTCCCGCTGGGGGACAGGCTATCACGTACCCCCGTATAAGGCCAGGGGCCCTTTACAGAGCGGCCCCTCTGGCCCGGGAGGACGTGCACTGCGGGGAGCCCTGGTCAGTGTCCTTGCCGGCTGCTCAGAGGGTGCGGCCTCGGCTCTCCGGCCGGCCGGCGGCTCCAACACCCGCCCGCTCACCTGTGAAAATCACGCCCAGGTCGGAGCTGCTCACTTCGATGCGCTTCTGCTGCAGGTGGCCGGTGTCCACCTCCAGGCCCTCCTGCTCCGGGTTCAGCTCCTCGCCCTCCACCGTGACCTCGCAGGAGTCCAGGTCGTGCACGATCTCCTCTGACACCAGCGACTCTTGCACTGCGAGACGGGCCCGGCCGGAAGTCGCAGAGGGCCCTGGCCCTGCCCTGCCCTCACACAGCCTCCCAGCACCAGGGTCAGACGTCACGTTCCAGGATGGGGAAATTTACGTGCCCCCAGGAAGGCCTGAGGACCTGGGGACACGGGTCTCCGGTGGGTGCCCAGCCCGGCACAGTCTCAATCTTCAACCCCTCAAGGCCCCTCTAGGCCCCCAGCCAAGCTAGGGGAAGGTGAAAGGACCCCCCAGGTGGGCTTCTGAGGTCACGATGGGCTCCGGGCCCTGGGTGAGACGCCCAAGAGCAGCATCTAAAGTTTCCATCTCCCCAGGCCCCAGAGGGGACGGGCTCAGCCACAGGGTGTCGGCCCCGGGGTGCCGGCCCGGGAGCAGGTGACGCCCCTGGGAGGGGCTGTTACCTGTGGGGTCCTCGTCCCCATCACCTTCGGGTTCCACTTCTCTGGTGATGGTGCTGATAATGCGGAGCTCGGGGAAGAGGAAAACCCCCTCTGGACTTTCAAACTCGGACGCCGCTCGCGCGAAGTGGTGGACGCCGCTCAGGCTGATCTTGGGCTCCTCCGGCTGAAGAACCATCACATAGCCGTCCACCGGGGGGATCTCGATGCAGGGGGCCTCGTTGAAGCACCTGCCAGCGGGGACACCGAAGAGAGGGCGGTCAGGGCCCCCCACGCCCAGGCAGGTGGCACGGACGCCCTGACCACAGAGCCCCCCGGGAGAGGCACCCGGCGTTATCTAGCCCGCAAAGGCCTCTCTGGGAATGGGGGAGGCCAGGTCACCCCAACCCCGAAGGCACACCTTTCCTTCTCCAGGTCACCAAGCCAAAAACTGGCTCATTGTTAAAAGCCAGCACCTTTATTTACAATTGGAAAAACATGGAAGCAGCCCAAGTGCCCAAAAGTAGATGACTGGATAAGAAAGATGTGGTACATATACACCATGGAATATTACTCAGCAACCAAAAAAGAGAAACACATGTCTTTT